TGTGGTGTATTTGTGTTTTATTATGTACGATCGTCATATATAATTACATGTCAATCAATGCAAATCTAACACAGTCAATGAAGCAGGATCTCTTATTAGTAAGGATCAAGGTCGAAACAATGGGCCAAAAAAAAAAAAAAAAAGGACAGGATTTTGATGTGGGTGGCGCGCCCGCACGCGCGGTTACTGTACACGATCATTCCTTCAGAGTCCTGTGGCGTCGATTGTTCTTCTTCTTCTTCTTCTTCTTCTTGCTGCTCCTTTCAGTATTTTTCAAATTCCTCCCCCTATTCCTTTTCTCAGTTTCCTTTCTTTCTTTCCTTTTCTTGTCTTGCTCTTCTATTCCCTTTCTTCCCTATCGTTTTATTTTATCTTTATTTTATCCAGAGATTTTCAATTAACTAGTCTCAAATTTCACATTTCTTGTTTTCTTCATTTTTCTCATTTCCTGGTTAAGGAACAGCATAACAAAATATGTATAAACTTACAAGAGTCCATGCTTCTGAAAGTCTTGACTTGCCAACTAAAAAACGAAAAAAATGAAATAAATAAAGTGGTAGTAAATATATATTTGCTGTCGTCTTACTATGCAAGACTAAATCTTAGTAGTAAGGTGAGTTTTTGATAGATCTCGGGCCACGAAAGGAGGTACCAAATCGCTCAAACAACTACATAAAAACGATTAAAATAACTATACAACTACTAAACATGCACTTTTAAGATAAACATAAACTATTTTAGGTGTTTTCGTACCTTAGTATTGAATAAACTTGAAAAGGCGTTTGTTTTGCAGTCTTTGACGCTTCTTCTTGAAAAGAAGACCCGCTAGGAGTAGATAGGTTAGCAAAACAATTGCTTTACATAACTATAATACTCGTCTGAAGCCCTAGGTCAAAATCTCTCAGCTGCATACACTACATACTACAGAATTTGAGAGTCAAACGCTAACGCTAAGCCTATCAAAGTTAAAAACACTTCAACACTTCAAGTTTTCATTCAAACGTCCAAGAGTTTGATTTCGCGATTCTGTTGCCTCAATATAGATCAAAAAGTACAATATACATAGAAAATATTACAGAAGTTCAAGAAATCCTGGTCTCAAAAGAGCCCTCGCTCTTCACCGCAGGCCAGAAGAAACGTAGGCTCTGGGTACGAGATTGCGACAAACTCTGCCTTGATTTTGTGTTTCCGCGGGAAATGAAAAAAAAAAAAAAAAATTACCTATTGTTTCTGCATATCATTTTGTAAATGCAAGATTCTGGGTACCTTGCTTAACATCAAAATCTTTTCCGCTAGTTTTATCTCTTCGGGGACGTTGTGGAGTATGCCGTGGACTTCCTTCAAACACTGACAATATTATCATAGAGTTTGAATGAACGCGGCTATTTTCATCAGCAACGGCTTGATTTCTAGATTGACCCGTTACTCGAGATCCCACATGGAAACTCGTGAGCCGAACCCTCCTTAGATTTTTGATGCTGTTTTTGACTGAACGTACAAACTTTTCGTTCCTATAAGCAAATAATATTGGGTTCAAGCATGTGTTGAATACAAGGAACATAGGAGGTAGCCATTTGCTTAGAACCGTATCCTGGACAGGAGTTAAAGGGAATTTAGCACTTCCAACGGTTAAAACAAACATGCTAATGTTCGGGAAAGCAAAAAATACGAAGCTTGTGAATACCATAAGGCAGATTCGCGAGGCTAGTTTGGTTTCCCTTCGAACTCCAGCGTTTATAGTGGATCGACGGACATAAATATATATATGACAGTACTGTAGCATGGTGACCAGATATATGGCCACCAGCATTAGCATCATTCCTTGACTGTAGAACATATCTGTATTTTCGTAGTTCTTCACATTACGTACGATAATACACATGAAGTTGTCAGTTATGGTAGAACCGTCATACACATGTAGTAGATAGCTAAAAATCGAAGCAAGAATCCAGAAAAGTAGAAGAAAAATAGCGGATTTTTTTTTATTGACGCGAATCGAAGGGTTCATGCAAAAGACGATGGCAAAGTATCGCTCTGTTGTCACTAGCAACGACGTAGCGACTTCCATGACTTGTCCAAAGACAAAAATACTTCTAAAATAAGGACATAAATTATGGCGCCATTGTCGGAATTCATAGGAACTTTCAGTGACCACGCTGTGTCCGTCTCCAATGGCAACCGCATAAGCACCAATCAAAATATCGCAAAATGCCATGTGCGAGATTAGCAGTAACGTCGTCGAAGAGCGAAGTGGTTTGGTAGCAACGATTACCATGACAACAACAGTGTTGAATACTATTGCAAGGATTCCTAGTAAGAGGACCACAGGTCGTAACATTCTAATAACCTCCCAGCATTTGTTCCTATAAACATTTCTCAAGGGTTTTGTATCTGTTAAAGAAATCTTACACTCTTTGTCCATCTCACATTTTCCCTTGAAGAGGATAAACGTCGATAGAAGCTCTTCAGCCATTGGATAATATTGCTGGGGTATATAGTTGCACCCGTTTTCAGGATGAATGAGACTCCAACTTGCGTTTTCTCTTGACATATTGCAGCTTTTACACGAGTTGGAAAAAGATAAACCAAAAATCAAGGCGAGTGTGGTGTTTTTTAACAGCGAAGTCGAAAAAGAGAAGTTCTTGTTACCCTCGAGGTTCAAGACTTTGATTCTTGGAAGATCGAGGTTTCCTTTCCATGTACGTAGGTCGTTGTGTCTTATGCTCCTAAACCACATCACAACGATATTATCTTAAAAAAGCCTTCAAGTGTTATTGTAAATTAGGTCAAGAGGGACTGTGTTCGAAAGCTGTTCGAATAGTGTAACATGAGGGCAAATAATGATCTAATATTTTGATATTATTTAACTAATACTTCATTGTAAATTAAGGAGAAGAAAGACGGTTGTTTGACAGCTGTTCGAATGTAACATAAATGTGAACTAATAGTGGCAGGATTTGAAAACGAAGAATACTTACAGGTACTGCAAGGACGGTAAACCAAAAAAGATTTGTTTACGGAGAACTTGTAGCTTGTTGTCATCTAAAATAAAAAAAAAAAAAAAAAAAAAAAAAAAAAAAAAAAAATGAACATCTTTAAATCAGTCAATCAATCACTTAGTCTCTTCTGCAATCAATTGATTTAAATCATCCGTCCGCTCCGTCCGTCTGTCCATCCGTCCGCCGTCTGTCTAATAATATATATTAGTAAAAATACACAGGTGATTATTGAAAATGTCGCGCGCTGATTGGTCGAGAAACTCACACTATCACACGATAATCACCTCCAGCGATAATCAAAAATGGCGACCAGTCGCTTTTTTGCCGGTTACCGGAAAAAATGTCTTTTATCTTCTTTTTTTTGAAAGAATCACCTGTGTATTTATACTAAAATAATTATTTGCCTCAGCCTCAGTGAATATCGGGTCATATTTACCTCGCCGCTCGAAGACTCGCGTCTTGGTAAATATGACCCGATATTCACTTCACCTTCGGCGAATAATTTGTTAAATAATAATACGGTTTATTTAAACACGTGTTGTCCAAGAGCGTAGATCTGGTTCAAAATAAGAACGCGTCTATCTGTCTCCGGCGTCCGTCTGACCTTCAATTAACTAACCACCGCATGCGGATAACATTTACTCACAGTATACGAAGTTTGTCAAATCCACGAAACACATTTTTCCATAGTTCTGTAATATCATTTTGAGCCAAGTTTCTGCAAAAGAAACCTTAATAAACACATGCACTGAATACAAAGTGGCTCGCGATTTTCTGCCGTGACAACTTAATATTATATAATATTAGTAGTAATATAGGTGAGTTGTTGCTCTTCCCTTAGCGGTCAGCGAAACGATATTGTGAGCCAGCGATATCGTTCCGCTGACCGCTAGAGGACACGCCCCAACTCACCTGTATTACTTCTAGTATTCTTAATCAATATCTGATATAATTAATCGCAATAGGTACTTTTCTGTTACTTTAAGAGGAATTTTTTTTC